ATATCCTTTCTTCTGCTTGATCGATTCAGCTATCAAAACTCGTGTATGCTTCATGTAGTTCTCATGCTGTGTTTTTCAACTCCATCAAGTTGGTTATGTTTTCTCTAAGCTGGTTATTCCAGTTAGCATTTCGTCTAACCTTTTTTCAAGTTTTTGGTTTCTTTGCATTGAGTTAGAACATGTTCCTTTAGCTCAGAAAATTTGTTATTATCCACCTTCTGAAGCCTGTTTCTGTTAAATTGTCGTACTCCTTCTCAGTCACGTTGTGTTCCTGTGTTGTTGAGGAGTTGTGATCCCTTGAAGGAGAAGAGGTGTTCTGGTCTTTGATGGCTTCATTTTTTTTGTGCTGTTTTTTTCCCTTCTTTGTGGATTTACCTGGCTGTGGCCTCAGGGCGCTGCCTGATGAGGTTGCTCGTCTGCCTGTTGAGGCCTACTGGGTTTCTAGGGATTCCTTCAGGTTACTAGGGAAGCTTTCTGTGTCTTTTTTGTTTACTGGCCTTTTCCTCTGACCTGTAGGCACCGCTGGGAGATCAAGAATACCATCCCGTTGCTATGTAGGCTTCCTGTGTTTTTTGTTAAAACATGTAGCCCAGTCCCTCCCCTATAATGGTGGGTTGTGCCCTTCCTCCACTGGGCTGAATCATTCAGGGTTCAGCTCAGACTGTGGCACTGGCTGCGCAACCTGCTAGAGTCAAGGCTTCAGCCCTCTGGGGTTTGTGGGGGAGGGTAGGGACCTGCTCAGCTGCACCTGACCATCTCTCTCTTTCAGGTTCTTCTCTCTGTGGTCATGGAGTAGGGGCCCGCCCAGCTTCTCTGTCAGTCCTCCAGCTTACAGCTCCTTCTCTCTCTGGGTGGGGGGAGGGGGTGATAGTTCGGTCCCTAGGCTCTCCGCGCCGCCTTTTGGGCTTACGCATCTGTTTAGGTCTGTGCACCAATCTGAGCCTGTAATTTCCAGTGCTTGACTGGCAAAGATCCTCTGTTCTGTGTATTGCTGAGACTTTGGGGAACGCGATGTAACTGGACTGGAGTGCCAGAGCGGGAGCCTCTGACTCCCCAGTCAGATGCACTTTCTGCATGAAGCAGCACTCCTCCCACCTGGCTCTGCCTTGCCTGGGCTTTGCTCACCGTTGGACTAGATCCTTTGAAATGCACCTGGTACCTCGGTTGGAGCTACGAGATCTTTGGATTTCTGCATCTCTGTCATTGGGTGTTGTGCACCGGAGTTGTGTCAATTTGGCCATCTGGGAGAGTCCTCATAGCTGGATTTTCTAATTCCTAACAGGCTGTCACATTTGCATTACTTCTGTACTATTATTCACTTCACATTTTTCCATTGGCAATCTGATACTCTGGAATTTTATGATAACAAACTTAAAATGCCACCAGAATTCTTTTGTCCAATTCAAATGATTACACCCTTCCTACCCCATTATTTCCCTAAATTTATAGTCACTGGTTACCTGCATGAATAATTGTTGGGGACTCAGTGTGGCAAGAAAGCACTGATTTTTCACTCTCACAATATTACATCTAGAAAGTAGGTTTAGACTGTAGGTACCTTCAACTGTAGAGATTTTGAAGAGATGCAATGTTTTATCTGTTTTCATTTTTACTCTTATGGTCTTGATTACACAAGACACAATTTTTAAGTCCTAAATAGACTTTTTTTTTTTTTTTTCTTCAAATGTGGCAGTGTGTGCATAATGTTAATTTTTGAGTTTCCTAGATTCAACTAGTATTTATTTCATTGTGGTATCAATTCACACTTTTTAGGGGCATTTTTCCATATCTTTATCAGTAGTTCATAGAAAAGTTGAAAGACGCTATATTAAGCAAGTGTTACCTTAATGTAATATAATGTAAAGTTTCAGAACTTAACTATAGGTCTTTTTATTGTTAACAAAAAAGACAAGTTCTCCCTCTGTTACCTAAGCTGGCATCTCCGTATGTTGCTCACACTGGTCTTCAACTCCGGCCTCAAGCAATCCCCACTTTGGCCTCCCAAGTGCTGGGATTACAGGTATGAGTCACTATGTTCTCCCTTAACTTAGGTCTTAGTTCATTACACTGTCATTATTTTCTTTTGGTGAACTTAATAATTTTAAAATGAATGAATTATTTTAGAATCCTGAACCAATATCTTTATCTAATTTATTTAACAACTTGACAAATTTGGAATTATTTATAATTAAGTGGAAGTTTGAAGTGGAAGCATGAAAAAACCAGCTTAAAAACTATTAAGGGCTTTGTAAATTATTTTTCAAAATTGAGATGATGTTTGTTGTAATTTTAAACTCTTAGTTTACAGTTTCTATTACATAGTTCTATGTCATATCTGCAACATCCATGGAGCATTACCTCTTAAATGTATATGTTTGTAAATATGGAAACTTTTCTATATCTTTTCTGGATTTAACTCAACTCAGGCATTTTTTCTGTCCTAGAATTTGACTGAAGTCACAACAGAGAAAGGAAGAATCATACAAAGCAGATAGAATTTATTCTTCTGGGACTGACAGATAATTCTCAGTTACAGATTGTAATTTTCTTATTTCTACTTCTAAATTACATGTTAAGCATGATAGGGAACTTCACTATCATTGCCCTCACTCTTCTGGATTCCCAGCTCAAGACTCCCAATGTATTTCTTCCTCCGTAATTTCTCTTTTCTAGAAATTTCATTCACAACTGCTTGCATTCCCAGATTCCTAATCACCATTATAACCAGAGAAAATACCATTTCCTATAATGGTTGTATATCTCAGTTGTTTTTTTACATATTCTTGGGGGTTACAGAATTTTTCCTTCTGGCTGCTATGTCCTATGACCGCTATGTTGCCATCTGCAAACCTTTGCATTATATATCCATCATGAGTAACAAAGTTTGCCACCAGCTTGTACTCAGTTCTTGGGTAACTGGATTCCTGATCATTTTCTCTCCACTGATATTAGGTCTTAACTTGGATTTCTGTGCTTCAAATATCATTGATCATTTCATTTGTGACATTTCTCCTATCCTACAAATTTCTTGCTCAGACACACATTTACTGGAATTGATTGCCTTTTTGTTAGCTGTGATGACACTCATTGTCACATTATTTTTAGTAATCCTTTCTTACTCTTGCATCATCAAGACAATTCTGAAATTCCCTTCAGCTCAGCAAAAGAAGAAAGCCTTTGCCACCTGCTCTTCTCACATGATTATTGTCTCCATTACTTATGGTAGTTGTATTTTTATCTACATAAAACCATCAGCAAATGAAAGAGTTGCCTTAAGCAAAGGAGTAACTGTGCTCAATACTTCGGTTGCCCCTTTGCTAAACCCATTTATTTATACTCTAAGGAATCAGCAAGTTAAACAAGCCTTCAAAGCTGTATTTAGAAAGATATTTTCTGCTTCAGACAACTAATACAACTTGTTGAAATTATTAACATGAAAACATAAAAGGATCTTTGGACAAAACACTGATTTGACTCTCCTAGTTTAAGAATTGATATCCAATATTCAATTATTTGTGTTACTTTATCTTGCTCAACATTCAAAATGTTTTTCATTCTTTCATTCTGACTTTAGTTTTCTCTTTTTCAGTACTCAAACCTTTTTATATTAGAAAGAAAAAAATTGCAAAATTGATTTTCTCTAAAAGCATGGTAGAATAAAATAAATGAATGTTTTTCACTGAATTACAGAATATAAGTTCTTCAAGAATTCTGTTTGCTAAATAATAAAAATTTAAAAAATTATCTAAGGAACCAACCCAAATGCCCATCAATGATAAATTGGTTAAAGAAAACGTGGCACATACGCACCATGGAATACTAGGCAACCATAAAGAGGATGAGTTCATGTCCTTTGCAGAAACATGGATGAAGTTGGCAACTATCATTCTCCCAAGCTAACACAAGAAAATAAAACCAACACCTCATGTTCTCACTCATAAGTGGGAGTTGAACAACGCGAACATATGGACACAGGGAGGGGAACAACACTGTAGTCACCCTATTGTGCTATCAAATAGTAGGTCTTATGCTAATTAATTTAAAGAAATGTATCTTCTTTTAGTTAAATGCTATGTTCTTTACAAGTCTTAGATAAATCAAATATTGTCATTATTAAAATTATATTTAAAATATTCCGAGAAAGCTTACTTTTTAAAACTAATGTAGAAAATTATTTTGCAAAGTGAACTTTTTGAAATGTCAATTGTCAACACAGAAAAGCATAATTTCCTTTGAAGGGAATCATACATTTCATGTATGTAATATTTATTATTTGGACAGATTTTTATTTTAATTTTTTAATATTTATGTATTTTACTTTAGGTGCATACTATATCTGGCATTTCTCCCCATATGGCTTTAATACACAAGCAGTTGATTCCACACACAATTTTTCTCAAGAGCATCTATGCAAGTTTAATCTTTTGAACATGTCAATTAATGTGTTAAGTAAATGGGAATATGTAACAGATGGGAAAAGGTCTTGACGTGTGTGTGATGGAGTATATGTTGTTTACTGAGAAATTATGCCAAGGAACACTCAGCTGTCCCCAGGCAGAAAACCATTAGAATAATAAGCAATATGTACTGATCATGCACTAGTTAAACCAGTTCCCGAAACACAGGATACATGACCTTGTCCCATTGCTGACTGGCAAAGAGTGCTTTCTAGCTTATTTCTATCTTAGTAGTGAACAGGCACTATCTGCCTGTTTAGTCTATCTTTATTCTATGAAGAAACACTGAACACCTGCTTATTAAAAACAATCAGTTGTTCACAAAGAATAAATACATGGGTCAGAATCTGCTCTGGGCTTTCATTTGGGAAATGCTGTCAGTCCCCTGATGTCCCTCTCTGTTCCCCAATTTTGCACTCTATCTTTGTGTCTGTTTCTTAATTCCTTCAGCAACACTTGGAATGGGGTCTCTACAACTGACCGGTCTTGGCATGTAATGAATTGTAATACCTGTCACATGATTATTAGTTTAACTTTTGCCCAAGTTTCCCACAGCAAATTATATTGAATATCAATGTCTTAAAATTTGAGCGATTTTAAAGATAAGGTTATGTTTCATTGCCTCCAAACTAGGGATATGAAATTATGTGCTTTTCTTTTTTACTCACGTGTCAACTGCTAGAACACTTAGGTATCACGCTCTCTATTTTTCTGATAAATATGTGGTTATGCTATTATGCCAATTGAATTATACCATGAGGGTGATTAAGCTTCTTCATCTTGAAATGTGGCATTGGTATTTGCTTCTATGTATCTCTGTAGTTACCATGAATTTACCTATTCAATATTTCTGAAAATATTTGCCAGTTAATTTTAATGACAATGGAAAAAGTAAACATAAAAAGACAAAATTTATTACAAGGTTCTTGGTGAACTCATCTTGACAATAAATTAGAAGATAAGGTTATTTACAAAGAGGCATGCAAAGTTAAAAGGACAGATTCTTTTTCTCAAATATCAAGACAATGATTGCTGCTATCATTTTGTCAACAAAAACTGGAAAAGCTAAATGCATAGGGTGGTGTGCTGCAGAAACTTCTCATAACGTTTCCTTTTCTGTATGGGTTCGTCGAATGAGAAATAAAGCAACATGTTCTGTCCACCACTTTCAGCTCTGTCACAGACTGTGTTATCTTAAGGAACTGTAAAGCAATTCTATCTCTTTTCCAACATGCTCTTACAATACAATTTTGACACTCCTTCCAAGGAGAAGTGGAGTCTAAGTTTCCTGCCTTTGAATTTGGGTGAAAATAAGTGACTGCTTCACCTAGTAGAGTATGGCAGAAATGATGCCTTGTGGTTTCAAAACTAGGTGATAAAGATGATATAGCTCCTGTCTAGATCCCTATGTTTTGAGACACTTACCTTTGGAATTCAACCACCTTGCTGAAAAAAAGTCCAAACTGGTTCTAAGGAGAGCCCACACAGAGAGGAGCATATAGAAAATAACAGAGGCCTCAAACTGACAGTCAGATGCCAACTACCAAATGTGTGAGTGAAGGTGATTTCAGCTCTTCCTCATATGGAAGACTGGAATATTTTCTGCTTATTGTCATGACTGGAGGAATAGCAGCTCAAAAAAAGTAGCACTCTTAATATATGAAAATCAGTATCTTAAACTGAACCATACACTTTGTTTTTCTCATACAATTACAACTTACCAAGAAATTTTAATGACCATTTTCTTATTTGCATGCTTGCAAATGTTTCCACAAATGACATCAATTTGCTTCTCTTTCTCACAAAATTAATTTTTGTTGTTTTGTTCAAAATCTAGGTCCACTCATGGAACTGAATTGCATGTGGAAACACTCTCGAGCACTTGGCATAGAATTCAGCATTAAATATCTTGGGTATATTCAGTAATTTTTTTTTTTTTTTTGAGACGGAGTTTCACCATGTTAACCCAGGCTGGAGTGCAATGGCACGATCTCGGCTCACCGCAACCTCCGCCTCCTGGGTTCAGGCAATTCTCCTGCCTCAGGCTGAGTAGCTGGGATTACAGGCACGCACCACTATGCCCAGCTAATTTTTTGTATTTTTAGTAGAGACGGGGTTTCACCATGTTGACCAGGATGGTCTCGATCTCTTGACCTCGTGATCCACCCGCCTCGGCCTCCCAAAGTGCTGGGATTACAGGCTTGAGCCACCGCGCCCGGCCTATATTGAGTAATTTTAAAAAAGAACATGATATCAACTAAAGGGACTCCAGTGAGACAAATATGGAAGAAATTGAGGATTATATAATAAAGAGAGCAACACATTATAACTCATAGAATAAAATTAAAACTTATATGTAGTTATATAGAATAAATAAAGAAGAAAAAAGGCTATTTCATATAGTCAAATGCCAAGTAAAAAGTATAGAAAAAAACTGAGTTATAAAATGTCGAAAGATGTCAAGATAGTCAGTGAAAGTTTAATGAGAAAAGTGTATATACATACTCTCAAATTATTACTTAACCATAAAGAAAAAGAGTAACTTTGCAGTGACAAGACCTGGCAGATGCCTCCTGAATGAGGTAATCAAAATTAGCCTTACTACTAAAATAATGGCAAAATATTTAGTTAAATAAGTCAATAGAAACAAAACAAGAATATATTTTATTAAAACTACATTAGACAAGAAAGGAAAACAATGGAAAATAAAATATGTGGGATACATTTAAATGATGGTAGGAGAAAAGACATAAAGTAAACCATCACAGTAAATACAATACCAACAGACTGAATACCCAGTGAAAGATTTTCAGGTTAGAAGGGAAAAATAGCTTAATTACATTCTGGTTAACAAAAACATACCTTTGGTACAAAGACACAAGTAGGTTCAAGGTTTTTAAAAGGGTAGAAACAGAAATAATTTTCTCTGGCCATACTTTTCTATGGAACTTAATTCTCTCTCAAAAGTCCAGTTTTGAAAGAATTCATTTACTGAAAAATGTAACATTTTTTATTTCATTAAAATCCCCATCTAGGGTTGTGGATTTGCGTGTTTTTCTTATTTTCCCTGTTGATGTTTGCTTTGTATCTGTTGGTGTTACCATTAGGAATATACATGTATAAGATTAGTGTGTCAAGTTTAATTGACTGTTTCATCATTATAAAATTTTACCTTTCATCTCTACCAATATTTCTTGCCTTAAAATCTCTTATGTTTGTTATTAATAAAGTACACCATTTTTTTAAAAATTTTATTTTAGTTTTACCCTGTATACCTTTTTTGTTTTTTCTTTAATTAAGATGGAGTTTTGCTATTGTTGCCCAGGCTGGAGTGCAATGGCACAGTATTGGCTCACCGCAACCTCCACCTCCTGGGTTCAAGCGATTCTGCTGCCTCAGCCTCCCCAGTAGCTGGGACTACAGGCACGCACCACCATGCCCAGCTAATTTTTGTATTTTTAGTAGAGACGGGATTTCACCATGTTGACCAGTATGGTCTCTATCTCTTGACCTCATGATCTGCCCACCTTGGCCTCCCAAAGTGCTGGGATTACACGCGTGAGCCGCCGCGACCAGCCCCTGTATACCTTTTAATTCCATCCTCTCACTTTCAATTGCTCTGTGTTCTTATATTTAAAATTTTCCCTTGTGATAATAAAAGTTTAAACTTGGTTCTGATAATGCTTATCTTTTAATTATAATGTTTAGTAACTTTTTATATTTATCAGCAATTACTAATTATTCTAATAATTATAATGGGTTTTATGTCTACTATCTTGCTAGTGGTTTTCTACTTGCCTCATAGATTCTTCATTCTTATTAATACATTTATAACATCATTTGAATTAAGCATTTCTTATTCCATTTTTCTTATCTATTAACTTTTTAGTTTTATCATTTTGTAATTTTTTTTCATGATTTCAGTAATGAGTACATTTATTATTTCACGTTTTACAGCTAGTATTTTTTAACTGGAACCTAACAACGTAAGATTTACAAGAATGACTTAAAATAGTCTATCTTTATGTAGCTTTTTTTTGCTCTTTGTGTAATTATTGTCACATGTTATACTTGTATGCATATTTTAAACTCAGCAAAACATATTTTTGAATTTTTCTTTTGTAGTCTTTTACATTTACCTTTCCCACTCTTCATGTCTTTGGCAGTTGCATGAATTTTCTTTTTTAAACTTTTATTTTTGGTTTGAGGGTACATGTGAAGGTTTGTTACATAAGTAAACATGAGTCATGGGGTTGGGGGTTTATTGTATATATTATTAATATTTCCTCACCCAGGTATTAAGCCCAGTACCCAATAGTTATCTTTTCTGCTCCTCTCCCTCTATCCACCCTCCATTCTCAAGTAGACGCCAGTGTCTGCTGTTTCCATCTTTGTGTTCATAAGTTCTTATCATTTAGCTCCTACTCACGAGTAAGAACATTTGGTAGTTGGTTTTCTGTTTGTCCGTTTCCTAAGGATAATAGCCTCCAGTTCCATCCATGTTCCCACAAAAGACATGATCTTGTTCTTTTTAATGGCTGCATAGTATTCCATGGTGTATATGTACCACATTTTCTTCATGCAATCCGTTAACTGATGGGCATTTAGGTTGATTCCATGTCTTTGCTATTGTGAATAGTGCAATGAACATTTGATGCATGCGTCTTTATGGCAGAAGGATTTCTATTTCCAAAATTATTTCTATTCCTCTGGGTATATACCCAGTAATGAAATTGCAGGTTCGAATGATAGTACTGCTTTTAGCTCTTTGAGGAATCACCACACTGCTTTCCACAATGGTTGAACTAATTTACACTCTCACCAACCATGTATAAGTGTTGCCTTTTCTATCTGGAATCATTTGCCTTCAACTGTAACAACTTTTTGCAGTGTTTCTTGCTATGAAGTATGCTAGCAATAGCATTTTATTGCTTTTGTTTACTTTGCCTTTATTTTCCTGAGTATAGAACTCTGAAATGGAAGCTTTTTTCTTCAGCACTTTGAAGGTACTATTCCATTATCCTTTGTCTTCCACTCTCTACTAAAACTGTCCATTGTTTGTTTGGTCATGCACAATACTGTGTCTGCTTTTTCTGAGTGCTTTCAAAATTTCCTATTTGTTTGGCTTCCAATGATTTGATATGTGGTACACAGTTATGGTTTTCTTTGCCTCTTGGTGAGGTTTTCTGAGGTTCCTAAATCACTTGATAGATATCTTTAGTAAGTTTTGGAAACTCTTTGGTCATTAGCTAATCAAACGTTGTTTCTGCCGTGTTCTTTCTCATCATTTGTGGGACATACATGTATTTTGGAAAGTTTGTTTCATCTGTCTCTGAACTTCTGTTTGAGTCTTTTCTTTTCTAATCTCTCTGAACTTGAGGGTGTGGATATTTCCTACTGACCTGCCTTTGAGTACAACAAATCTATCTTCACCTGTTTCTTACTGTTTTACTTACCCCCAAGTTTTAACTTCAAATATGTCATTTTCTACTTTTAGAATCTTCATCTGATTTACAAATGTAGATTTCAGGTTCATTTTTAATTGTTCATGTTTTCTTCTATTTTGTTTACCCTCTTCCTACATCTTTCAAATATTTATAGTAGTTATTTTAAAGTGTTTGCCAATAGGCTTCAACATCTGAGTCACTTGTGGACTGTTTTCCTTGTTTTTGCCCCTAACTTATGGTCACTTCTGTAATAATTCCTTTTAATTTTTCATTAGACTTCAGACATGGTGATTAAAATTTATTAATATTGTAATGAGGAAAATATAATGGATACATTTCAGGACTTTTGTGCATTTGTGAAATTTTCTCATTGTTTGCTGAGTAATGGATTCGATTAAATGAATATTGAAACTGTATGGCAGTCAATAACAAGGTACAAAATAGTATATAAATTGTAAATTTTCTGCATTTTTAGTTCAAGGAGAAGACTAAAAGTGAACAGATCCATCATCTGTTCATTTTGTAGCTAGGATGGGAATAAATGAAATATCTTCATTAATAAATCCATCCAAATAAACACAATGCCTCATAAAAAAGGAAACACTAGTGGCTATATGGATTTTAAGCTTTCTAAGTATCCTCTGGACACAGAAAACCATTGTTTGCTCTATTTATTTTTTAGTTGATAATTCACAGTTTTTATTAGTACAGAGAAATGCATTAAGAAACTTCAATACAATTTCATTTGTCCCAAATTTTAGATAACAGTACCAATGTTTTTTTTTCCAGGATAATATGGCCCTGAAAAATATTTATCTTAATGCTTTCTTTAGGTCACATGTGGTAGTTCATGCCTGCAATCCCAGCACTTTAGGAGGCTGAGGCAGGAAGATTACTTGAGGCCAGAAGTTTGAGACCAGCCTGGCCAACATGGCTAAACCCATCTCTACTAAAAATACAAACAAATTAGCTAGATATGGTGGCACACATGTGGCACACATGCCAGGTACTAGGGAGTCTGAGGCACAAGAATCCCTTGAACCTTAGAGGCCTTAGTTTCCTTTCATGTAATAGAAAGCAATAGCTAATACATCTTACCAGTGATTTTGAAGGTGTTTCCATTTCTTCAAATCTGATTAATTTTAACTACCATTGATGTCTTCTTTCCCAGTTATTCTAATAGGGCTGGAATTCCTTATTTGATTTAATTTATTTTTAACTATCTCTCTTGTTGTTTTCTATTTTTTTGTTTTGATTCTTGGATTTACAATATTAATTTTGATAATTTTGTATTAGAGAAAGAATTTTTATTACTACATAAGTTAACTTGTAGATAATGTATACACTGATAAGTATTGTTACTTTTTTCTTCCCTAGAAAAATGAAGCAAAAAGACTAGGTCAGAAGTAGAGAAAACCTTGATTTTTGGAAATGTAATTTTTAGTTTCACAGTGAGGGAAAGCGCTATGTATGACCTTGGTTTGAAATAAGAAGGAATTTGATAAAGATGAGATTAGGATGCAATATTAAATGTCATTGAGAAGGTTCATATGACCACATTGTAGTCAGGAAGCAATGAAATAAGTTAAAAGCTGTAGGATGACATTTAGGGAGCGTTCTTCATTCACTTTATGCTAATTCATCAAAACTTCTAATTCTTTGAGAGAAATGCAATCCTCTTTACAGAGTCACTGAAAGCTTGTTTCACTTGCTTGTTCCTCAAGGTGTAAATGAAGGGGTTCAACAAGGGTGCAACAGAAGTAGTAAGAACTGAAACTCCTTTGTTTATGGCAACCCCGTCTTTTGCTGAGGGCTTCACATAGATGAAGATGCAGCTTCCATAGGCAATAGAAACCACAATCATGTGGGATGAACAGGTAGAAAATGCCTTTTTCCTTTGCTGAGCAGAAGGGAACCTCAGAATTGTTCTGACTATGTACCAGTAGGAAAGAATCACACAAACTAGAGTGATAATGAGTGCAAATACAGCCATAAGTATAACCATCTGTTCTATTACCCATGTATCTGAGCATGAGATCTTTAGGAGAGGACCTGCATCACAGCTAAAATGGTCAATGGCATTGGAGTCACAGAATTCAAGCTGGAGGCCTAAGCTAAGTGGTGGAACAATGATCATCAAGCCAGCCACCCAACAGCAGAGGACTAATAAGGTACACAACCTGTTGTTCATGATGAGCATATAATGAAGGGGTTTACAGATGGCCACATAGCGGTCATAGGACATGGCTGCCAGGAGAAAAAATTCTGTTGCTCCAAAAAGAATAACAAAGAATATTTGACTGGCACAAGCATTGTAGGTAATGGTATTGTCCCCCATTGATATACTGTACAAGAATCTAGGAATACAGACTGTGGTAAATGAGACTTCTAAGAAGGAAAAATTTCTGAGAAAGAAGTACATAGGAGTTTTAAGGTGGTGGTCCACAAATGTGAGGGTGATAATAGTCAGGTTTCCTGTTACACTTAACATGTAGGTGAGAAATAGAAAGAGAAAAAGCAGAACTTGCAGGTGTGGGTCATCTGTCAGTCCCAGCAGGATAAAAGTTCTTATTACTGTATGGTTTCTCATCACTGTTCTTTGATATCTACCGAATCCTCATTTAAAAGTTATGGTTTATGAGGAGGTAGATATTTGAATTCTATAGCAAAAGGCTATGCATCTAGAAGCCAAGCTGACCAGTCTACATTTATTTCCTCCCTTTACAGAATAATCAATGTTGCCACTGTTCTAATAACCTTCCTAAATTTCATATATGAGCAGTGGATATATCCTTAAGAATTCAAGTTTTGTAAAACAGTCCAACATTTTCCTTGATTATTCCTCATCCATCAGAATTTACAAATGCAGTTGATTGTAGTTTATCACATGGAATGGATTTACAAATGAGTTAGAAAAAAATAATGTCATTTCATAGGTACTTAAAAATTCTTTGTCCAGAACAAACTCTGGATATAGGATATATCCAGGTAATTAAGAACATTAATTCTCTTCAGTTGTTATTATCTGAGAATTGTAGTAAGATGAAGATGAATTTCTCCTGGAAAACAAACAAACAACAATGACAACAGAATACATTCATTATTCCTGAGCCTTTCCCTGGTCTTTTTATTCTTCTCTGCTGGGATTCCTTATTCTCAACCCTGTAGTACCTGTAGATGGGTTGATGTGAAATTATTTTACCTATAATGGGAGAAAAAGTCATGTTCAAGGTTTTTACAAAATGAATATTCTCTTATGCTTTCATTTGATGTTCAGTTAATTGATTGTGATTTCTTTTCCCTCAAAGCTACAGAAGCAAAACTACATTTAACACCACTAAATCTAGTCTTCTAGGCTGTGTCTTTTTCAATGTATTTTTAGGTCCTTTAAAAAGACATCATGTGTTCTCACTTATTTGTGGCATCTGAAAATCAAATCAGTTGAACTCATAGACATAGAGAGTAGAAGAATGATTAGTAGAGGGTGGGAAGTATAATGGGGGTTTGAAGGGAGGTGAGGATGGTTAATGGGTATAAAAAATATAAAGAATAAATTTGATAGCACAATAGGGTGACTGTAGTCAATAACAAATTGTATATTTTAAATAACTTAAAGAATGTAACTGGATTATTTGTAACTCAAAGAATAAATGCTTGAGGGGATGAATAACTCATTCTCCATGGTATCTTATTTCATATTACATCCCTATATCTAAATATTTCATGTACCCTATAAATATGTACATTTGCTATGTACACATAAAATTAAAAATAAAAGAAATTTTAAAAGACATCAATGTCTCCTCATCTCACCCCTACTCAGTTTATACTTTAATCCTCTGCGTCCTCACTTTCACCTCACCCCTCTGAAGAATCTGCAAAGACTTCATTATTGTTGAAGCTAAGGGCACATTTAGGTTTTTAATCTTGCCTGGAATTGCTATAGTATTTTTGTTTTAAAGTTCAATCATTTGTTAAATGGGCTTCGTGTCTAATTCTGATATTCTTCTATATCTGTCTTTTAGGGTTTCTCTTTTTAGTCTCCTCTTTCTCCCTTCATCTGTGAAATATTGGTTTTCTCAAATATCTTCAAACCTCCTGCTTCTTGTTTTCTGTTTGTTATTCTTCTTCTACTCTTCAAGGGTGATTTTGCCTAGCCCCATTGATTTGATTATCATGTATGTGATATAGCCAAAGACCAGGTAAAAATCATTGCTAAGTATACATCACAAGTTGGGTGTTCCACAGACACCTCACACACCACATGCTCGAAGTCAAGTCATGCTCCTTCTTTGAGACTTCTGTTCTACTGCTATTACCTATTGCTGGTTACAGATTAATCACTTTTGTGTGACCTGCCAGGCTCTTCATGGGAAGAACCTTTCTTGATTTTCCCATCTTATAGCTTACCATTTTCTTACCACTTACCAGTTTCTTCCTCATGGCTCAAGTTGCCTTAGCATTGACTACTTGCAGTTCTTCAATTTTCTACATGCTTTTGTCTGCACAGGCTAATCTTTTGACTGACTAGTGCATATTAGTCTTTAGGATTTGACTTAGGTATTGATTCTTCAAGGAAATGTTCATTTACCCACATAGCGAATGTGAAATTATGCTCCTGTGTTCTTTCCAAGTACTTATGTACTTGGTCTTGGATTATATCACAAGGTATTATACTCTTCACCATACTTGTATTTATCCTGTATGTTTCTGTAAACTTCTTTAGAGACAATATTTTATACATCCTGGTTTTCTCTTATATCTGGTCTATTTAGGGTTCTTAGTAAATTTAGGGGAGAAATAAAACAGATTTGTCTTCATAGTGACAGTAAGCTATGTTTTTAATGCTTATTCCTGTCAGTTGGTTCAAAGTTCTTATTTTAATATCTGTTTCAAATTGCACTGTTATTTTTAGTACATTCTTAAACAAAAGGTCAGCCTATTTTCAATTCAAAGTTCTGCAAATGCTATTTTGCTAATACTTTCTCCAGTGTTTCCCTTTGCTCTCTGAACTACTTCTTACTTTACTTTGATATTATAGTTCCCTATATGCTATTGTTATTTGCTTGCTTGTTTCTAGTAATCTCTCTCCTGACCTCTTCCTTCTTAGAAACTTAGGAATTTCTTTTTTCCTTTTTTCCAGAATTTGATCCTCATATATCATTTTCTAGAGACTGCAGTTGTTTTACCCTCTGCTTTCCTTTCTTTTTCAAGGCTGAAACCACCTACTATGTGACTAAAGATTCATTTCTTTTCTGAGACTGTGGATTCTCTTACAGAAAAATCAGGTGGAATTCATATAGATTATAATCATGGATATACCCAAGAAGCTCAAAGATATCCTAATACTCTTAGGATTGGTGAATCTCTAGTGTCACTCAAAAGTAAACACTATGAATAGGAGCTTTGTTCTTTCTCTGTTATATCTTTTACTGCCATGGAGACTGTGCTTGGCACATAGCATGTGTTCAACAATTTTTGAATGAGTTAATGTACCTTTCATACAACTTTATCTTGTACTTTATCTCTTAAAAAGTAGAATTTTAAAAGTTTTTTTGGAAAGCTTAACAATTTTTAAAAACTATTTTAAAGTTTAGATAATATTAAGCTAAAAGGCTCATACTGCAATGTCAAGGTTAGAATTGCTGCTATACTTATGATTATTACCCAGGTAGAATTTTCTTTTTTGTTTAAATAATTTTCTTTGTAATTTATATCCTAAAATCTGTTTCTTTCATACCAATACTCCTGGTACATTTGCTAATTAATATAACCTGAATGTGTTAGTGAAATAGACCTTTTATTTTCATAATTCTAGTTCCACTAATCTCTTTCTACACATATTAGAAGATTCATTTAGTTGCCCAATTCTCTGTGCTATAATAGAACAAACCTCAGTGAGGAGTGTTCTTAGAAAAACAAAAATACTTAGTGTAGAGAGATATCAATAAACCTACTTCTTGTAATAGAAAAATAATGTTGTTACATTTCTATAACCTCGGATAATCATGGAGTCTAAAACACTGTATTATTTAGCTTTTCTTTGCTTGGTCAGAACCCCTCCCCTTTTTTCCATTACGCCAGTCCACCTAAAATACCACAGCAATCTAAATTTCTTATGACCCAACACTTTTGAGGTAAAGAACCCAATCCTACAACAGCAATATCTTTTCTTTCTTTTCTTTTCTTTCTTCTCTTCTCTTTTTTCTTTTCTTTTCCTTTCCTTTCATCTTTCTTTTCTTTTCTCTTTTCTTTTCTTTCTTTCTTTTTTTTGGCAGTGAATGGAAGCCAGATACAGGATAATATAAGGTAAAAGATATGTGGGTAGGAAAAGTCTAATTTTAGTTTTTTTTTTTTTTTTTNTTTTTTTTTTTTTTTTTTTTTTTAATCTTGTCATTTTTGGTGATTCTATTACCCCTCAGAAAGGATAATCATGATTAAGATTCTTTGTTATGTTGGAATTCTCAAGAGTTTGGAACCAGGCATAGCGAAAAAATAATTGTAACTACTCAGCTAACAGTTTTAAAATTTTTCTATAATTAATTAATTTCTAATGTTATAAAAATTCACTCATCCTCATGTTTACTAAAATAAACAGATAATAGTAATTTTGAGAATGCTGGGGTATTTAAAACACAACTTATCAAATGGGAGAGAATATTTACAGACCATATATCTGATAAGGGCTTAATCTCCAAAATACATAAAAAAATTCCTGCAACTCAATAGCATAAAAAAAGACAATGCAATTTAAAAATGAGCAAAAGAGTTGAATAGAAATTTCTCCAAAGAAGACTTACAAGTGGCCAAAGGTATATAAAAAATGCTTAATATCATCAATTATCAGGGAAATGCAAATCAAAACCACAATATCACCTCACACATGTAAGGATGGCTATTAAGAAACAAATAAAAACAAAACAAAAGATAACTTTTGGCGACTACATAGATAAATAGAAACCCTTGCACACTCTAGTTAGAAATGTAAAATGGAAAATAATATGAAACTTTCCTCAAAAAATTTAAAATATAACTACTATATAATCCAGTAATTCCACCTCTTGGCATATATGCAAAATAATAGAAATAAGGAGCTCAAAGAACTAACTTTACTCTCAAATATTGAGCATTTTTCACAATAATCAAGATATGGAAACAACCCAAATATCCATCAACAGAAGAATAGATAAAGAAGATGTGGCATATATAATACAATAATGGCATGTTGTTCAGCTTTTTTTTTGTTTTAAATTGTACTTTAGGTTCTGGGGTACATGTGCAGATCATGCAGGATTGTTGCATAGGTACATACATGGCAAGATGATTTGCTGCCTCCATTCCCCCCCATCATCTATATCTGGCATTTCTCCCCATGTTATCCCTGCCCAACCTCCCTACCCCGCACTGTCCCTCCTCTAACCCCCCCAACAGACCCCAGTGTGTGATGCTCCCCTCCTTGTGTCCATGTGTTCTCATTGTTAATCATGTGATTTGTGACCACATAGATGAACCTACAAGAGATTACACTAAGCGAAATCATACAGTTATAGAAAGACAAATACTGCATAATTATACCTATATGAGGTATGG